TCTTTTTATTGTATCAAGAAAGTGAGTTAACCATCATGAGTCACCTAGAGATGGATAGTTTTTATTTACAAGTTGCTTATAATATTAAAAAGTTTGATCATATATAATAATTAAGTCATATTGGTAAGGTTTAAGTTTTGAAGTCAGATAGATTTGGGATAAAATCTTTGCTCAATCACACCTTCCAAGACCTTAGACAAATGGACCAATTTCTTTAATTCTCAGTTTTCAAACTCGTGAAATTAACCCTACCACACAGTCCTCAAAAGTATATACAAATATATCTATTGCTGCACCTACAATTAATAACCATTTGCTAGGGCCTCCCCACCAAATATTGTGAAATAAAAAAGGTAATATTGAGTCACAATTAATTTCTTATATATATTAAATTATTTATAATATGTGAAATGTGACATATGGCATAAAGTAAATAAAACAGGTATTACAAAATAACAATACAGAAAAAATATGCAAGCAGTCTAAAATATAAAGTTTATGTGTAATTATAAAGAAATATATCAATCAAAACTGTTGATTGATATAAAAGTGTTGTCATCCCCGAAGATGTAGAGTAGCTATAAATTCAAATGCCTTTAGGAGTTGGGCAGGTCACACATGTGAGTAAAGCTGGATATAGGATGACCATGGCAAACAGGAGACTCATACATTACCTAAAGCAGAGAACTAAGGCTCAACTCTGGTTAATTGTTGCTAGGAGCATAGCTACATCTGTATTACAGATTCACAGTTGTCGCTTTTTTGTTTTATTTTCAAAAGAATTCAAATATCCAGATATTTTTGTGAAATTTTTTATTTCTAAATATTGGCAACTCTGAAAACCAATCAACATCATCTCCTAATGGTTATTCTGTTTATTGAGATCTATAGTAGATCTTACACTTGCATGTGTAGGGACTAGAATGGAGTGCATGAAGGCTACTAGACTTTAAACTTATGAATGGTTTTGTTGAATTTATCAGACTGGTATTATTTGTTGGATCATATCTCTGTTGTTTCCAGCACCTGTTGGTGAGGGGCCATTATCTTAATCATTTTTATATTATAGTACCTGGCATAATGCAAGTCTATAGAATCATTCTTGCTAATGTGGTAACACTGAATAAATCTAGATTGAAAGCCTGAGCTTCTATATGATTGACTTGAAGTGATTAGGTATAACTACAACTCTCAGAAAGATTAGTGAAGACTTTGGCTAATACAACCAAGAGACAGAGCTCTTAATATAGGTGACAGGAGATGGACTTATTTAAAAGAGAATGTAGCATGCCATTTGTATTTTATAATGCTAGTAGATTTGCAAATAAGACAGTACTTTGTTGAAGATTCCTCCAACAATCCAAGATATTTAGCATCCTCAGTTCTGCCCACTAAATGCTTTTAGAATATCCTTATCATGGTAAGAATCCACAGTACATTCCACTTCCCCTGTTGAGAACAAGTGGAGAAAGACGGAGTAAATGAGAAGTCAATTACTAGCAGAAATCAATATGGAAACAACAACAATAACAACAAAAACTCCTTTCTCTTTGATATATGCCTTTTCAGCTGAGCTGTAGACCTAGGCTTTCTGAATTCTATTCACATTAAGTGGGGGTTTCCAGGGCAAAGACCTGGTGAAGCCCTCCATTGAGATGAAAACAATTCAAGATGTAGTATTTTAAATAAAGCAAAGTTAAAAATAAAATAAAATAAAATAAAAGCCTGAGCTGAATTGCTAAAAATGCCAGAGCAACCAAGATCACAGAGTCATGAGAAAAATAAGCTTGGAACAAAAGTAGGTAAGGAATAAATAATTTAGCAAATTGCCTAAGGATATCCACCTCCTGCCCTTATCTCTTTAAGTCATTTATGTTTAACAGAGTTAAAAAGCTAGAGGTAGAATGGCAGAGCCAAAGAAATTATTCCATTTCTGTGCCAGCCACACACCTAATTTCTGATCTCAAACCACTTGGATGTCTTAAGACATCACAAAATAAACTTTTAAAACCTGACTCCTAAAACTCTTTTTTTTTTTTTTCCATCAGGGAAGGAGCAGAGAGAGAGGGAGAGAGAATCTCACACAGGTTCTGCCTTCAGCTAAGGCAGGGCTCCATCACAACCCTGAGATCATGGCCTGAGCTGGAATCAAGAGTTGGTCACTCAAACATTCAAAGCCACCTAGGCACCCTTGTTCTTTCTCAAATCCTAAGTTGCTAATTCAAGTTGCTGATCTTAATTTCTGCCTATATTATTCACTCTGGTCTTTCTAGTATGTACCACAGCACCTGCCATATAGTAAAGAAAAAAATAAATACCGCCTGCATAAATGAGTGGATGACAAGATAGTCAAATCAATGTTTAAATCAGAAAGATGAATTCCTTTTTGGTTTCTCCCTTCCCCTCAGCCTGATTGTCCTCTGATGACACGCATTCCATGAGTAAACACCTAGGAGGAAGGGCATGTTACTTTTATATATTTTTTTTATTTGATGTATTTCAACACACTGATAATACAGTTTCCTTTCCTTTTGCTTTCTTCTTTTTCTTTTTTTCTCTTTCTCTTTCTCTTTTATTCTCTTCTTTTCCATCCTTTTCCTTGACTATGGTAAATATGATACAAATTTTGGAGAATAGAGGAATGCTAAGACAACAACCTTCTGTCTTCAAGTTGTTTATAAAAACTGTTAGCAAAGAGTGCCTGGATGGCTCAGTCAGTTAAACATCGGACTCTTGATTTTAGGCCTCTTTTCCCTGACAGCATGGAGCCTGCTTGGGATTCTCTCTCCTTCTTTCTCTGCCCCTCCACAATCTCTCAAAATAAATAAATAAACTTAAAAAACTAAAAACTATTAACAAAATCATATCAATCTTTCCAGTGGCTAATCTCATAAAAGTTGGTTTTTTTTAAGTTTTAATGGGCCATTACTTTCTTTTTCCTAGACAGCTATCTGAGTCTATTATAATACAAACAAGGGAGACTTTATGAGGACAGTGATAAGAAGGTCTTTAGGTAATGTTGTGAGATGGGTGAGAATTGGAGGGAATAGGCTGGAGGTACTAGGAAAATGGGCTCAAAGAAACTGTTGAGAGAAGCACTCTCAAAATGTTTTGGAATATTGTTGGATCAGACTTCACACATTGCTTGCATACAGAATTCCAGTCTATATGCTATCTAGACATCTGAAGCACTACCATGGAGCCCTGCTGATATTATATGCATCTAAATAGATCACAAAGGCAAAGACTTGAACCACTGCTATTGTGAGTCTTGGCAAAATGACTGGGATCAGTGTGTTCCAAAAAGAACACAAGAAGATGGGGGATTTGTAGAGAGCTGTTGTGAGGCCTTCTCCAACTCAACTCCGTTTCTCCCTTTGGAGCCTATCTCAGACAGTATTCTTGGCTTCCCCAAGTTCTGCTGTGGTAAGGGGTTTCTGGACTTATCTCATATTAGAGTTACAGAACACAGAATCATTTAGCTGCAGTCTAGAATTGGCTCCATAGCAACAGGGTATCCCACAATTTATGAAGTAGTCATTCAGCCCTTGTTGTTTTAGTATTGTCTTTTATAGTGCTTAGGACAGGGGTCCTAAGGAGCTAGAAACTTTTGCTTATTCTTCTCTTTGCTGTCTATACACATAATATATATATATATGTATATATATATATATATTTTTTTTTTTTTAATCTAAAATTGTCACCTTTATCTTTACCACCTGAGTTGGTCAGGCTTTGCCTTTCATGAATGAGCTTTATGCTATCTGATGATCATGCAAGGAGATAACTTTGAATCATCTGCACTAAGAATTCTTACCAGCAAATTATTCTGGATGCTCTACAGTCTGTCTGTGCCATGATTTCTTATTACATCCACTTTAGGAAAACCAGTAAAGCCTTTCCTCCACAGCAGCCCAAAGTAAACTATGAGACGTGGACATACAAAGCACCAGTGGAGAGGAGCAGCAATGCTTGCTGTTGAGCATGCTCTCAATTTAAAAGCATAAGGGGGCACCTGGGTGGCTCAGTTGGTTAAGCGTCTGACTTTGGCTCAGGTCATGATCTCACGGTTCATGGGTTCGAGCCCCACATTGGGCTCTGTGCTGACAGCTAGCTCAGAGCCTGAAGCCTGCTTCATATTCTGTGTCTCCCTCTCTCTCTGACCCTCCCCTGCTCACGCTGTCTCTCTCTCTCTCAGAAATAAATAAAACATTAAAAAAATTTTCTTTTTAAATAAAAGCATAAGTTAAGTTAGTGAAACATGTACCTAGTTTTATCAGTAAAATCTGTGTCTAAATGTGCCTTGATTTATTCTTATATCTACATACCCACCATCAATGAAGTGGACAACTTAGTACAAAGGTTCATTAACAAGCAGATACAAAAACAGGAATAGGCAGAAAATAATTCTGATGGCAGATAAGAACACTTTTTCATAGATTACGTCACTGGTTTTTATTCTCTCAATCTTGGAATTGGAGAAGACAGAGAACTGAGAGGACCATCAGGGCCCAGAATTCTAGGGCTAATATTGGGCCATCAGGAAGAAATATAAGAAAGTGCATCCATGGATTCTTGAGTACTATTTATCCTATATTTATATCTGAAAGTACATGGCAGTGATGAATCAATGAGACATGACTGAATGAGTAGCAAACGGGAGATAAATTTGCACAAGAAACAATGAATACAGATCTATAGTATTTAATACTATTTTGGGAAAATATAAATAAAAATTCTTCACCTATCAATCTGAAAATCCTTTAAAACACAAAGTTATCTTCAGAGGTGCCTGGCTGGCTCAGTCAGTTAAGCATCCAACTCTTTCTTGATTTTGGCCCAGGTCATGATCTCACAGTTTGTGAGTTTGAGCCTCTTGTCTGGTTCTGCACTGGCAGAGCCTAACTTGCTTAGGATTTTCTGTCCCTCCCCTGCTTGTTCTCTCTCTCTCTCTCAAAAATAAATAAATAAGTATTTAAATAAAAACCCACAAAGTCATCTTCAGTATACATTCCTTTCACTGAAAATAGAATGTTGATCTCAGAGGTGTATGTGGAATCTGTTAACTTTTCCAGCTTGCAGCCCTAAATGAAATGAGAAAGAAATGTTAATGCTTTAAAAAGTTTCAATTTACAAAACAGGATAATGAAATTTAAATAAAACAATTCAATTAAAAATGCTACATTTAGGTAGATCTCTGTGGGAAAGTAAAAAATATATATTAAATAATGCTTACAGGACAATTTTAAAATTTCTGTCAAATAACTCTCTTGTCTATTTTTAAGTGAATGACGGAGAGTATCAAATTATTGACATTTTTATTCTATTGGCTATATTTTTTAAAGTGGTTGAATTTGAATATACCAACAGTTTAAGTTTTAATTGCCATTATTTATAATACATAAAAAATTACTACATTATCAATACTTAAATTTCTGGCAAAATACCTAAACTGCAATTGTTTTTTAAAAGTTTTTTACTGTTTATTCATTTTTGTAAAAGAGAGACAGAGCATGAGCAGGGAAGGTGAAAAGAGAGAGGTAGACACAGAATCTGAAGCAGGCTCCAGGCTCTGAGCTGTCAGCATAGAACCCAACTTGGAGCTGCAGTACTTGAAGAGATCATGACCTGAGTGGAAGTTGGACATTTAACTATCTAAGCCACCAAGGCACCCACTGAAGTGTAATTTCTAAATAAGCAAAGCGGTATACTGACTTTCAAAAACCTCTTTAAAAGTTTTGGGGGAAAAATGATATTGAAAACAATTACTCCATTGTAGACTTAGCTAGCTTTACGTGAAGGACTAGGCAGTATCATTTCTGCAGTGTAGATTCCTGATTAGGGTCTTTATCATGTTAATTAGCCACTCCAGGAATGGGAATTACTGATTTAGGCACCATAGGAGTTAAACAGTAAACTGTTTTGTAATGTAACGTTAGCTTACACACACTGGCAACCCACCTTTTCAATATCAAAGTAAGTTCAAAGCATAGTACAGCCATTATTACAGTCTTCCACATTAGTCAAAATGATCATTTTGAAAAAAATAGATATAACTTTATCAATTTGTTGATCAAAACCAATGACTTTTCCTGGTCCTGAGAATGAAATGCAAATTCCTTAACAGAGTTTTTAAGGCATTCCAAGATTATTTCTTTTCATTACCTTTGCAATGTCATTTCAAGACCCTCTAGTGTACTACAAAACAAAACAAAACAAAACAAATAAACAAACAAAAAAAAACCCAGTTAACTTTCAATTCCTAAAGCACCCAAACCCTTATCCATTTTAGACCGTTGTGTTTGCTGTTCCCATTTTTCTATACATGGTTGACTTTTCTCATCCTCTGATTCACACATATTTCGTTTTTTAAAAAATATATGTTTTTTTCTCTTTGACCTGTCTACCTTGACTACTCTAAGGAGCCTTGCCATCTCTGATCCTATAAATCTTTACCTCAGCATTTTCCATTTTTAATCAGAGCACTTATAATACTTTTTAATGACATTAATTTTTGTTGATTTAAGTGCTTTTTACTTCTCTTTCCATCATGAGTACCATTTAACTAAATTTTATTAAGGGGACAGATTATGACTATTTCATTCAACAGTATATACCCACTATATAACATCATATCTAGCATACAATAAGTTCTTGAATGTGTCTATAAAGTAAACAAATCTGTGATATTTCATACTTTCCTGTGTCATCAGAAAATAATATATCTTCGCAGTTGGGTTGTAAAATCAACCTCTGCTTAGGAAAAGGTTCATCTTGAACTCATTGGGCATTTTATTAAAATAATATCCTGGTAGAATTTTTTCTCGACTCTCCTAAAGGATTAATTTCAAATAAAACCCCATTCAGATGTAACTAAGTTGGCGATGTGGACATATAACTTTTAATCACATATATCTAATCCTGTCTTGCCTTCTTAAGATCATTTTGCTTTAATTTAGCATCTATTCTTTCTGTTAATAAAGTGAATGTATTTCCAAAATGCTCATGATGTAACAAAACCTGTCACATGTAATTTTCCTCTATTATTTCATTAAATCTTTATGACAGTTCACTGGAAGAGGTATTATCATCCATGTTTTATTGAGGAGAACATAAAGAGACCATAGAAGAAAAATAACTTGCTAAAGAATGAAGAAGTGGATACTTGCAGAACCAGGATTTAAAAGCATATTGTATGCTAAATGGCTACTACTGAAACCTTGATAGAAATTTATTATACATTTAGTTTTATTTTCAACATTACAGACAATTTATATGTCACTTCAAAACACATAAGCATACTAAAATAAAGACTTGTCAACACTACAGAATTTTTAAAAACAGCCTCAACATATAGATACATTTTATTGCCAGAACATCATCCTTGTAAGAAAAGTGTGATTTTTTTTACAGTATAAAACTTTATATATTTTTAATAGCAGAAAAATATTATTAAAGTTACCACAAGAAAAATGAGAACTAAAGAAGATACAGAGCTGAAAAATAACTGAGAACAAGAGAATAAACATAAAGAGCAGAGAGAAAAAAATACCTCTTTTTGCAAAAATCTCTGAAAGTGTATGCTATCTGGAAAAAAAAAAGAAAAGGAATGTGCATGCCAAACTTCATTTTTCATTTTGCTTTGTTTCTCAGTTCAAGGTTAGGAATGTGAAATACAACAGACTACAAATTACAAACTATACAGCCTACATAACAAGCACAAAATGTTGCCTTAGTTCCTTCTTTTCTTTTTACTATTGTATCCTGCCTCTAAAACACGTATGTCTGATAACCGAATTATGGAAATGATTTGAAATCATTCTTACGACCTCATTTATAGAGCTTTTGATGCTTGCTGAATATGAGAGAGAGTAGAAAATATATTTAAACCAATTACGGTTTTCTCCATAATCGTGATTCTCTAGACTCCTCAATTTTATATACAAATCTATATAATTATAGGAAATGAAATGGAGTTGCATGATTTAACTTTAATATAAAATAAGAATCCTCTTCCTAACTTAACTAGTAGATAAAAGAGACAGCAGGTTTTGAAATTCATGTGAACAAATCTCATCAGCAGAAGGTAAAAGACATGACTATCTCAACGTGAAAGGTGAGAATATAAAAATATAACTGTTTTTAGTTAAATAAAATTATGCACATTTATGCTTTTGATTTTTTTTTTTTTGCAGCAGTCTACATTCTAATACACATAAAAATAATGTTGCTTGGGGAGCCTAAGTGGCTCAGTCGGTTGAGTGTCTGACTTTGACTCAGGTCATGATCTCACACTTCGTGGGTTCAAGCCTCGCATCGGGCTATGTGCTGACAGCTAGCCCAGAGCCTGGTGCCTGTTTCAGATTCTGTGTCTCTCTCTGTCTCTGACCCTTCCCTGCTCACAGTGTCTCTCTCTCTCTCTCTCAGAAATAAATTTTTTAAAAATCATTAAAAAATAAAAATAAATAATGTCACTAGTAAGGTAGAAAATTCATTAAAAAATTGTAGTGACAGCAGCAACTATCACAAAGAGCATACTTACCCATGTCATGGAGGCCCAAATCTAGATAACAGTTGTGCACACTGTCCATCTACAGGCTCAAGAACATACAAGTTATTTGTTAATTATTTGTTTTAGTCCATAGACTAAAAGACTTTAATGACCTTAATAAGCGTTTGCAGAGCCAGAAGACAACCTAAGAATAGTTACATTAATAGTTAATCTTCATTCCTTCTTTCCTAAATGTATCAACAGGTGAAATGTTCAGACTCAAATGATATTAGTCTTTATATCTCTTCTACTCTATACAGAAAAACCTAGTTATTTAACACATTATCAAATGCCATTATCACATTATAACTACAGCACAGAAAATTTTAAAGATTTGCATTTAATTTTCATAGGCTAGCAAATGAAACAGTAGTCTCTGTCTTGTGAAAAGAAAACATGTTTTAGATTATATACCTCATTATAATACGGAGGTTATATTCACATACATGAATTACATGTATCTCCAGTTCTTATTCTCCTTTTCTGCTCCCACTTAGAGCAAATTCCCATAGAATTCTTTTCATACTTGCTCCCTTCCTCTCCACCTTCTTTCTTGAATTTTAATAATGTTTAGCATGAAGATTATCACTGAAAAGTTACTAAGTCAGAGTCCAATGCATTAGCTAGGTTTTCTTTTCCATTTTCTTATATCAGTTGAGTAACATTACCACACGCATCATTTTCTCCTCCTTCTCCATTAAGTGGAACTTTAGGAGCCTTATACTCCCCAATTAACCTCCATTAACACTCCTCTTGTTCTCATACATCTACCAGCAAGAAGTCAATAAGAGGATCTAGGACAAAGCGTTGCAAGATACTCTTATTTCCTAATACCACAAAATTTATCAAAAGGAGTTGGGTCAATGTGGCTGAGAATTAGGGAGCCCCAAGTTCCCTCATCCCTCAAAACAACAGTATTGAGGCCAGAAGACTTGAAATTCCAGGAATCTGGGCTACAGAGTGAGAGAAACATCTCCAGGGGAACATGGGGACAGTGTGGCAAGCCATAGGTGCATGATTGCAAACTGGGAAAGATAAAAAATGGGTAGCATAGGCCCAGAGGGGAGGGATCCCTTTCTTTCTTTTTTTTAAAAATTTTAATGTTTTTTAATTTATTTTTGAAAGACAGAGATAGCACGAGCCATTGAGGGCCAAAGAGACACAGAATCCGAAGACAGTCTCCATGCTCAGAGACAGACACGGGCCTCAAACCCATGAACCATGAGATCATGACCTGAACGTAAGTAGGATGCTCAACCTACTGAGCCACCCAAGTGCCCCGGGAGGGATCCCTTTTTGTGGAGAGATAAACTGAAGAGAAAGAGAAGCTACAGGATTATATTTTGACAAGAGAAAAACCTATTTGGACCACAGACAGAGGAATGGAAAAAAAACTGAGAGAAGGCCAATTTCTAACTTGCAAATAGCCTTAGTTAGGAGTGATGATCCAGGATTGGGACACATTCTCTGGACTGGGGCCACCCTCTTCACACACCTTGCGGGGAGAGGGAACCACTCCCAGGCTCAGTAGCTGGCTCAGAGGCACCTTGGGAGAGGAGTCCCCTCCCTTGGGTGCTGAGTGCTATGGGAAGAAGGTATACAGCCATTTGAAGGGCAAAAGACCCTGCAGGTGCCTGCCAGCCATAGGCCCTGTGTTGGCTGGGAGGAGTGGTGCTACCCCAGAAACAGAGCTCGCTGAGCAGGATTCTTTAAGAACTGCTGGGAGCAGCGTGGCCTCTCTGGATGACAGTCACAGCAAGAAAATGGCAGTGTTTGCACAGCTCCTGCCATGAGAAGGGAAAACTGGTATCTCCTTCTGCTACTACTGGCTCATGTTGGAAATGAGGCTGCTGGCATTGACCAGGCCTCACAGTATTCCATATCAGACCAATATTTCCTGCACAGATTGCTCATAAGGAAAAGCATATCCCTGCCTTTTCCAAAGAGATTTCAGATAAAAACATTGTGGATAATTGTTAAAAGGCTCTTCCTAAGGGTCTTGCAGATCCAAGACTTAACACATAAAAGGGGCCCGAGTCTAGCCCTGAGACAAAGAGCCTAATTTACAGTTAAGGGCAGATATCCACCCTCACCCATTTGTTTCTGCTTGGAGCATTTTCTGGTCTTGTATATGCTGATTGCTCCCTGTGAAGGAACCTATTGAGGAACTACTTTTGTCATTATGGGAGCAAAGGTGTTTCCTGGAAGACCTGTTTTTCTTGATACTTCCACCTTAAAAGAAGTAACTTCACCCTTCTTATGCTAAAAACTTTGTCTAAAGATACCTTCTTCCCCATAGGATAAGCATCTCAATCACTATTGATAAAGGTTATGCAGGAGTCTTCTAGATTTCCAGGAAATTCTTACATATCAAAGAAGTTTGTTATCAGAAATCATTGTCTAAGGCAAATGCCAGTTCTGTGCCATCCCCCAAACACTTAATGATAAAATAAAGTTGAGCCCCAGTCAGAGCAGAGATGCCTACCTGGTGACCAGAAAGAATCTCGGGGGCTCTCTCACTCTCTCTCTTGCCGACACCATCCATCCTTCAAGGACCCCTGGACCTGCCATAGTCAGCCTCTGACACAAGCCCAGTGCTTGGGAGACATGGGAGACTGTGGAGCAGGACAAACTGCCCTGCTCGTATCTACAGGGCACTGTGAGGACTGCCTGTTCAGAGTGGTTTGGGACACCCAGTCTAGGGAGGAGAGACTGGAGCATCACCATTTTTCTTCCCATCACCAATAAGGTAGGACTTCAGGGAACAAGGTGGGGCTTCACAGTGGAGGTGGGACAAGCTTACACCAAATCCTGCCCACACCCTGAGTATCTACTGAAGTGAGATTGACACTGGCTGAACGAGACAGCCCCTCCTCCAGACCAGCACAGCCATGGGTTCCAAGGCACCATCATATATTGGTCCAGCAGTTTTGCATTTTCTGATTTGATTCTTGGTCAATTCTTACTATATATATATATATAGTGTGTGTGTGTGTGTGTGTGTGTGTGTGTCTGTGTGTGTGCATATAAATATATATTCCCTCTTATTTCTCCCCTCCTCTATTCTGGTTGGTTTGTTTTAGCAGACATTTATAATCTATTCTTTTTATACCTCTTCTATATCACCTCCTTTATTTTCTTCTCTCTTTCTCTGGATTAAGCCATATAGTTTCTCTAATTCTCTGCCTGGTCAATTTTTTGTTTGTTTTCTTTTTTCCCACCCCTGTCACTTCTCTGTATGGGATAAAGCTTCTTCCTCCACCACCCCTATTTTAATTTTTTTTCAGGAGTTATTTCACAAATAAATCAAAGCACACCTGATGGAAAGTCTGAACTATCATTAAGAGTAGGGAGTTAAAGCAACCAGAGTCACAACAACAGAGAGCATGCAACACACTAGAAAAACACTTCCTGAAGGACCAGGCATTAGACAGTGTATAATCCCTTTTTTGATATAGTAGTGATCACATGTTCAGGACACATGACAAGCTATTAAAACACATAAAGGATAGAAAACTAGCAAAAATGATGAAATGGAAGAATTCCCCTCAAAAGAAACTTCAGGAAGAAATGAGAGCCAGATAATTGCTCAAAACAAATATAAACAATATATCTAATCATGAATTTAGAATTATTGCCAGAAGTGTAGTATCTGGGCTTGAAAAAAGCATAGAAGACAACAGAGGATCTATTGCTGCAGATCAGGGAACTAACAAATAGTCACAACATGGGGTCCCTGGGTGGCTCAGTCGGTTAAGTGTCCAACTTCAGCTCAGGTCATGATCTCATAGTTTGTGGGTTCGAGGCCCAAGTCGGGCTCTGTGCTGATAGCCAGCTCAGAGCCTGGAGCCTGTTTCGGATTCTGTGTCTCCCTCTCTCTCTGACCCTCCCCTATTCATGCTCTCTCACTCTCTCTCTCTCTCTCTCTGAAATAAATTTAAAGAAATAATAAAAAAAGAAATAGTCACAACAAATTAAGAAATTCTGTAAATGAAATGCAAAATAAACTAGATGTGGTGACAGCAAGGATGCATGAGGCAGGGAGGAAAACTAAGTGAAATAGAAGATAAAATTATAGAAAATGATGAAGCCAAGAAACAGAGAGATAAAAAAAAATACTAGATCATGAGGGGAGAATTAGAGAGCTGTGATTCAATGAAATGTAGTATCTCTATCATAGGCATTCCAGAATAAAAGAGAGAGAAAGGGGCAGAAGGTTTATTTGAACAAATTATAGCTGAGAACTTCCTTAATCTGGGGAAAGAAGTATACATGCAAATCCAAGAGACACAGAGAGATCTGTTTCAAAATAAACAAGAATAGGTCATCACCATGGCATATCATAATGAAACTGGCAAAATACAAAGATAAAGAGAGACTACTGAAAGCAGCTAGGGACAAGCAGGCCTTAACCTACAATGGAAGACATATAGGGTAGTAGCAGACCTGTCCACTGAAACTTGGCAGGCCAGAAGGGAGTGGCACGAAATATTCAATGTGATGAATAGGAAAAATATGCAGCCAAGAATCGTTTATCCAGCAAGACTGTCATTCAGAATAGGAGGAGATATATTGGCATTTCCAGGCAAACAAAAACTGAAGCCGTTCATCACTATTAAAGGAGTCCTTCAAGAGATCCTAAGGGAGACTCTGTGAGTGGAATGTTGCAAAGACTACAAAGAACCAGAGACATCACCATTAGCATAAAACCTACAGATAACACAATGACACTAAATCCATGTCTTTCAATAATCAGTCTGACTGTAATAAGACAAATTACCCCAATCAAAAGCCATAGAGTATCAGAATGGATAAAAATCCAAGATCCATCTATTTGCTGTCTACAAGAGACTCATTTTAGACCTAAGGATACCTTCATATTCAAAGTGAGGGGAAGGAGAACCATCTATCATGATACAGGAAGTCAAAAAGATGGAGTAGCCATACTTATATCAGACAAACTAGATTTTATTTTTTTTATTTTTTTTATATTTTTATTTATTTCTAGGAGAGAGAGAGACAGCGTGAGCAGGGGAGGGTCAGAGAG